TTTTCAGGAAGCACTAGCCAAGCTAGGCGTTACCCACATCACCAGCTCAGCCTACCACCCTCAGTCTCAAGGCGTACTTGAGAGGTTCCACCGAACCCTCAAAACCATGCTAAGAACGTTCGCTAACAGTAACACCCAATGGGATGAGACTGTTCCTTGGATTATTTTCGCTGCGAGGGACTGTGTCCAGGACTCTTTAGGCTACTCTCCTTTTCAACTTGTGTTTGGACATTCTGTCCGAGGTCCCCTGAAGCTGATCCACGAACAGTGGACAGGTACCAGCGTTCATCCTGTGGAAAACTTTGATGATTTTCACGTTCGACTGAAAGCCGTGTGCGAAATGGCTCACAAGAACTTAAGAAGGGCCCAAGTCAGGGGCGGAACTACCATACCGCCAGACCCCGCAGTGCGGGGGGGGGGGGGGCCCAGGACGTTTAGGGGCCCATTTCCGACCAAAAAACAATGAATTTTTTTTTCAAAAATTATGTTTTCCATGCATCTTAAAAGTGGTTTTGTAAAAAAAACAAAAAACAAAAAAAAAAACAGGTCTACTATAGCAGAGATTGTTACGTAGAAAAATATTTTAAAATCTCCAAGGGCTATAGTCTGAAAGGTAGGCAAACATTCACACAACTTCCATGACTTACTGCCCTTCTTTAAAATAGGGATGCCCACGAATCTCATTTACATAGTTTTGTACTATGTATAGTAAAAAGCAATTGATTCTCTGAATTGTTATTTAAATAAGACGTACTAAACAATGGTATAGATATAAAAATCAATGTTTTCAAAATTGATATTATAAAAGCCAAAAATGAAAAAAAATAAACATAACGCGAGAAACCATTCACGAATTAAGCTTACGTCTTTATATATTTTTGACCAGTTAAAAATGAAAGACAAAAAGAATAAAACAAAAATGTGTCTAGTTTGTTCTCTCAGAATGGTTATATATTGCAATGAAGTAGACTAAATTACACTGTTTAGATACAGATTATATATATATATATATATATATATATATATATATATATATATATATATTAGTTTCGTCACTGGCAACTTGATAGTGGTTTTGTAAGTAACAAACAGAATACAGATCTAATACAGTAGTGATGTTATATAGTAGCTAAGACATGCTGTTGCGTAAAAAAATAAAAAAATAATAAACACAGCTGTAGTGTGAAAGATAGGCAAACGTTCAAACCATTTCCATAAATTATTTCCCTTTTTCAAATAGTCAAATAGGGGTGCTCAAAAGCTCTTTTTAATAGATTTTTAATAATCAAATTAAAAAGCAATTACTTATCTTAATTATTATTTTTAAAAAAATAAGTACTAAAGAATGGTATAGTATAAAAATGAAACGTAGTTAAAGTTAATAATATAAATACAAAAAAATAACATAAAAATAAACATAACTCATAACACGAGACACCATTACTTATACAAAGCTTCATATACTTTTAACCGACTTAATGATTAGAAGTATTAATCATAAATGAAAACAGAGATTTTCAAAACAGACCAATGCACTCATACACATGACATGCTGTTGTGATTAGATTTAATTGAATTTTTTTTTCAAAACCCGATCAGGCTAGAAAGGAGTATCCTATATTCGTATTGTGTTTGTATGTGTGTGTATGTATATATATATATATACACATACATATATACATATATATAAATATAAATAAATAAATAAATATATATATATATATATATATATATATATATATATATATATATATATATATATATATATATATATATATATATATATATATATATATATATATATATATATACATATATGGGGGGCCCAAAAAAAATTTTTGCGGGGTGGCCCATTTTTTCTAGTTCCGCCACTGGCCCAAGTGAGAATGAAAGGACTGTATGATAAGAGTTCTTGTAAACGAACATTCAATCCAGGCGACAAAGTTCTTGTGCTAGTGCCTAATCTGAACAATGCGTTATCCTTGAGATATTGTGGACCCTTTACTGTGCATTCAAAATTAAGTGATTTGAACTATGTTGTCAATACGCCCGACAGAAGAAAGAAACAGACAGTGTATCATGTTAATTCACTGAAAAAGTATTATGATAATTGTAACAATTTTCATTCCACAGCTAAAATTACTTTACCTGTATGTTCAAATGTTTCTGATGATGTGATACATGATAAATTGAAACCCCCAAAATTGGTAAATTCTTCCTTTTTAGATAATTTGAATGTCCACCTTATGCATTTGTCCACAGAGGAAAGCCATAGATTGTCTCAGTTATTTGAGACATTTCCCTCTATTTTTGGGGATGTCCCCAAAGAAGCGAAGGTTCCACCTCATGATGTAGACGTAGGTGACGCAAAACCCATCAAACAACACCCCTATAGAGTTAACCCGGAAAAAGCTGCTTTGATAAAAGATGAAATTGATTATATGCTCAAGAATGATATCATTGAGCCCAGTTTCAGCAACTGGAGTTCCCCATGTCTCCTAGTACCGAAAGACGGTGGATCTTTCAGGTTTGTGACCGACTTTAGGAAGGTAAATGCGCTCACCAAAGCTGATTCCTATCCATTACCTCGGATAGAAGACGTTATTGATAAAGTTGGTCAGGCTAAGATAATTTCCAAAATTGATTTACTTTCAGGATACTGGCAAATCCCCTTATCTGACCGTGCAAAAGAAATATCTGCTTTTGTAACCCCTAATGGTTTTTATAGATACAAACGTATGCCCTTTGGTATGCGAAATGCTGGTCAAACTTTCCAGAGGGTCATTAACTCTGTCATTGCTGACATAGACCAATGTGAGGCCTACATAGATGATATAGTTGTATTTTCTAATACTTTTGAAGAACATATTGTTCAGTTGACTAACCTTTTTAGAAAATTGTCTGAAGTGAATTTTACTGTAAACTTACATAAAAGTGATTTCTGTAAAGCTTCAATTACCTATTTGGGTTACCAAGTGGGAACGAACCAAGTTCGGCCCATTGAAGCTAAAGTAGATGCTATTGTAAGGTTACCACCTCCCAAAAATTGTAAAGAGATCAAAAAGTTCCTTGGGATGGCTGGTTACTATAGGCGGTTCTGTCAAAACTTTTCAGCTATTGCTGAACCTCTTACTGCATTATTAAAAAAGGGTGTTGAGTTTGAATGGTCAAATAAATGTCAAGAAGCTTTTTTAACCATTAAGTCATTTTTATCTAATGCTCCTGTTATGGCTGCACCAAATTTCAGCAAGCCCTTTAAACTTGCCATTGATGCTAGCAACTTAGCCATTGGCTCAGTCCTATTTCAAGAAGACAACATGGGAATTGACCATCCCATTGCCTTTTTTTCCAGGAAGTTAAATGAGAACCAAAAGAATTACTCTACTATTGAAAAAGAAGCTTTAGCTTTGGTTTTATCATTACAACATTTTGAAGTCTATGTCTCTTCTTCAACCAATCCAGTCAGAGTGTTTTCTGACCATGATCCCCTGAAATTTACCTCTAAGTTAGGACAGACAAATCAAAGAATATTGAGATGGTGTTTATATTTCCAAAATTTTAATCTGGAAATTTCACACATTAAGGGTAGTGATAATGTTGTGGCTGATTGTTTGTCAAGGATGTAAAATCTTATTGCACACATTGATCATGTGACATGTTTTGTGGTTTATTAAGACCATACACAAGTGTGGTGTTTTCACATGAAAATGAGTGGTATGATTTTTGATTTTTTCAAAATTCTAATTCTATTGAATATTTTGTTTATTTTCAGGTGAACCTTAATTAAAGGTGGTTTTTGATTCTATGTAATCTTTTATAATAATATGTCTCATATGACTCAGTTGATATTGTAGCTAGACATTGAAATAAAGGTCTTACCCTGGCGGGTTTACCACTTTTAATATCCTCATGGAAATGTTGTAATACCCTTTTTTGAGGGATTTTGATGTATAAGTACCTTTTGAAGGGTTACTTCCCTTTCACCAATTGTAAAAGTTTGAGTTACTTCCCTTTTATGTTCAGGGATATTTTCATCTGGAATTATGATTTTGATTGCCTACATTTGTAAAACATTTTTTTTTATTTCATTGCCAGATTGGTTCCTTATGTATGTTTTTGTGGAACCTATCTGTCACTTCCAAAAAGGGAGGGGATGTGACCTACTTAGGTCGAGTCAGGTTCTATTTTTTATTTTGACATTGTATAATACCTTATATGGAGTGATTGTGCAACAACCGGGGTTTTTCCACTGACTTATTAAGGGGTCTAAGACATAGAAATTTTCCATTAAGATCTGATTGAATGATTCTGGTCAGATGACTATCCCAACCAATGGCTACATGAGTTGAGGATAATCTCCCCTGTGGCAGAAGTCTTTAATTGCACCGCACACTCGCCACACGTGGCAGTTTACCTTGATCGGGCCTTCTACCTTGATCAAACAATCTATTAAGACCAAGCCGTCCATATTGTCCGGCAATAGATTCTGACCATTTGAACGTGAGAGAACTTAAGTCCTGTGTGTGCTACGCTTTCTTAAGTTGATTTAGTCTTCTAGTATAATATTACTAGTCGCCAAGTAATTCTTGAAGCTATAGCAGTGTTGTGTGGCCTGTGGCTATTTTTTTAGGCAGTGTAGAAATCTGTGATAGTGTTTTTTTCCTACACTCTGTAAGTTGGGTTTTGATATTTTATACATTAAATATTTTATCTAGTTTAACCTTGTGTTCTGCCACAACTGTGTTCGCTTATTAAAGGTTGTATGTAGATTGGATGAGTGTTAATTACAATAGTATCACTAGTTTTCCCTAGACATCGAATTCGAGCCCTAGTGTGTCGTTGTGTTAGTGTTCATCCATTTAGGCCGTAAGGCATTTGCATATGACCCCGAAAAAAGAATCCGGGGACGTTCACCTTCTATCTGGCTGATAGATAGGGGACGTTACACTAAACAACCATGGTCTTTGATACAGCATCCTGTTGTGTTGATCTAAACAACCATGGTGTTTGATACAGCATCCTGTTGTGTTGATCTAAACAACCATGGTCTTTGATACAGCATCCATTGTGTTGATCTAAACAACCATGGTCTTTGATACAGCATCCTGTTGTGTTGATCTAAACAACCAAGATCTTTGATACAGCATCCTGTTGTGTTGATCTACCTTCAGCCCACCACAGGTGACAGGTGCCTTAACTAGGTCAGCACGTGAGTGACATGTCCATTAGACCACCTGACTGAGCTGTGACGTCATGTGTTTTCCAGAAGACATAATGTGACTCAGCAAATTCAGGCAAGTCGTCTACATCCCCTTGATTTTACAGTCCATCTATTACACTCCCCTGATTTTACAGTCCATCTACCCCCCCCCCCATTTATAGTTCTTCTCCCCCCCCCCCCTTCCCCTAATTTACCGTCTATCCAATCCCCCTAATTTTTCGGGTCCCCCCAACCCCCCATCTTTCAATACAATAAATCGTATATATCCCCTCCCCCCTCTAGTTTCTCTTCCTCTATCCCTTAATTCTCGTGTCCTTTCTATATTTCCTATTCTCTCCCCTTCTTCAAATTGTCTCCCCTATATTTCTGTTTTTCCGCTCCCCTCCCTTCCCATCCCTCAGTCTGTTATCTCCTCCCTTTCTATTCCCTTCTTCAACCTAAACAGCCTGTCCTATCCACCCCCCCCCCCCCCCCCATAACATCACCTATCCGCCCCCCCCCCCCCCCCCCCCCCCCAGGGCCCATGCCGTAAGACCGGCAGATCCGGCTTGTCACTGTGAGCTCAAGTCACGTGTGCCACGAGTCACTCACGGCCTCTGATCTTCCGGTTCACCTGCCAGCGGAGATGATCACGTGATCACCTTAGCGCCGTGAGCTGCACGCCAGCCTGCACGCGCGACGTGTCAACTTGGTGACGTCACGACCAGGACGGGTCTCTTGTGACGTCACCAGGGGGCTTGGTGACGTCCGAAACTTTTCTTTTTTTAAGTGATGTTAGACTGTCTAGCTTTTGTGAAAGTCATCATGGGGTTGGTACTGAGTATCACGTTGAGATAGCGGTATCCGTCAGCTTTAAGGCGAGAGGGGAAGAGGAAGAAGGGCAGAGGAAGAAGGGCAGAGGAACCAGGGGAAGAGGAAGAAGGGCAGAGGAAGAAGGGCAGAGGAAGAAGGGCAGAGGAAGAAGGGCAGAGGAAGAAAGGCAGAGGAAGAAGGGCAGAGGAAGAAGGGCAGAGGAACAAGGGCAGAGGAAGAAGGGCAGAGGAAGAAGGGCAGAGGAAGAAGGGCAGAGAAAGAAGGGCAGAGAAAGAAGGGCAGAGAAAGAAGGGCAGAGGAAGAAGGGCAGAGGAAGAAGGGCAGAGGAAGAAGGGCAGAGGAAGAAGGGCAGAGGAACCAGGGCAGAGGAAGAAGGGCAGAGGAAGAAGAAGGGCAGAGGAAGAAGGGCAGAGAAAGAAGGGCAGAGAAAGAAGGGCAGAGGAAGAAGGGCAGAGGAACCAGGGCAGAGGAAGAAGGGCAGAGGAAGAAGAAGGGCAGAGGAAGAAGGGCAGAGAAAGAAGGGCAGAGAAAGAAGGGCAGAGGAAGAAGGTCAGAGGAAGAAGGGCAGAGGAAGAAGGGCAGAGGAACCAGGGCAGAGGAAGAAGGGCAGAGGAACAAGGGCAGAGGAACAATAACAAAAAGGAGCAAAAGAGATGCTCATGACCAGAGACACCGAGAAAAACAGGTTTTAAAGTCTGCACTCCGCATAGGTTGAGACACGTCGCATGATCATGTGACTAAACGAACACATTACACGTCATCAGTGGCCCATCACACTGCGCCCCACCACACTGCGCCCCACCACACTGCGCCCCACCACACTGCGCCCCACCACACTGCGCCCCACCACACTGCGCCCCACCACACTGCGCCCCACCACACTGCGCCCCACCACACTGCGCCCCACCACACTGCGCCCCACCACACTGCGCCGCACCACACTTTTTTTGTTTCCAATCTTATGAGTTTGTGTATTAAAACGCCGCCTAAAAATCATAAATAATTCCTAACATTGCTATGTTCAATAACATTTAATATTGTCTAGTGGACATTTTGAAATCTACCTATAAGTAATTTATTAAAACCTTGCAGCAATATGTTTATCTGTTTACCTTTTAGCCTTTAGTGTGGTCTATATACCGCTACTTTACATTGTTTTTGAAGGGTAAACGTTAGTATTTCAACCTTTAAAACGATTGAGGCATTGCAAATTTTATAAGCTATCAAGGAAGTTGATACATATTTTACAAGCAGGATTAAAGACCTGACTTCTCCAATAACTGTCAGATTAAAGTGGACAAACAGGCACAGATAGAAGCACAGATAGCAGAACGGATAGACAGCACGGATAGACAGACTGTGTTGAATGAAATAATTATTGCCTAGCTATTTGAAATTAAGGGAATATTATTTGTTTATATATGCACAACTCAAATGCGTAGGTTTAGTATGGGGGGGGGGGGGGGCAAAATTTATTGTGATATACCAGCTAGAATAAAGTTTAATCCTGAACTAAATCTAGATCTAGCTTGATCTAAAAAGCACACAAACACGTGTAACACAATAAAAAGCACACAAAGACCCATAACAGAATAACATGCATATATTGAGCAAACAGTCCATTGTTAGCGTGAACAAAAAATGCCAGCAAAACGATAAAACAAAACCCATTTTGTATGGTCGGATGGTAGAGCCCTCGACTACCACATCGAAAGCCTCGCGTTGGGAGCTCGGTCCGGACGGAAGTCTGTATGACGTCACTGAGTCCACCCAGCCTTGATTGGTAGCTGATTCAAGATAGGGAAAGTAAATTCTAGGCATAAAGCTGACCATACCATCCCTATATATGCCGTGGTCAAGAAACATATGGACTCTACTTCATCTGCCTTGTGGATCTTAAGGTCTGAAAGGGGTACTTTTCTTTTATACGGAGTATCAGGAGAAGTAATTTCGAAATCAAGATTTTTACCTTATTTCTTAATCTAACCAACCCATTTTGCCATCTTGTAATTATGTCTCTCTGTGTATATGTGTGTGTATGTATGTGTGTGTATGTATGTGTGTGTGTATTGCCACAACAACTTGACTACCGTTTCAATTAGGTAGACTAAACTTTAAATTGAAATATTAGATTTTATATGTAGGTTTCAGTCTATTTTGAGTGATTTTATATAACCGGAATCGATACTTTATTTCTGGTTTCTCAAAAAACATCCAGAATTAAATAATTTTATAACATTCTCATATAGCAGCATATTGTATGACCTTTTCGTCTAAACGTGTCATATCGATATTTTAGTTTTGTCCCAAACCATTTCTATAGCCCTATTCCACTGAAAGTATCACCCCAAACTTAACTGTTATACACAAATAAACAAAAAAAGTTCAGGGGAGATCACTCCCCCATTTTTTTCTTATTTATCTTGACCTCCAGGAACCCCGGGTCAAGTTTCAACAGGGGAGGTAGACAAGTATAGTAATCTAGACCGGGCCCTTTTGTCGTGTAGGAATATCTTTCTTCTCGGTTATTTAATCGGATTAGGTCGAGATTTGCGTCTAGCAGTGGGGCCCGCATCGACCAGACCGGTGGAGCTTTTGTAAAGTCAAATTCGGGATTATTATTTCAAGGGAGACAAATCAGACGATTTTTATTTTTATTTTCGTTTTTGTTTAGTTTCAATCTGATTACGTTTTCTCCTGAGTATTTATTCAAATATTCATCATCAAGATTCTTGTTAGCGCGGATGTGTACAAAATGGAAAGAAAAAACAATAACAAAAAAACCCAACAAAACAACGAATAGTTATAAAAATATCGCTCTGTCAATGAATAAGAGGCAGTAGAATTTGCCTGTTAGGACAATGGCAGCCATCAGTAAAGAAAGTGAAGTTGCCTTACGCACCTGGCGGTCCACATGGCAGGTGAAGTAGAGTTCACCTGTTTCTGTTGCTCGGCATAAGAAACTGTGGTTATCATTATGCCCAGCAAACTTAATTTCCCTAAAGCAAGTCGGGTACCTATCAAAGCTGGGTGGATTCAGGAACGTGCTACGATTCTAGTCTAGAGGATCTTTGGGTTAGCAGACGAACGCTCTAACATTCGACCACGCCGTACCTCAGGCATAATAAACACTTTGCTAATTGTTATGAACATGCTAACACACCTAGTAAATGCAGTCAAGCGTATCACACGACGTTTACACACAAGCACAAACGGGTCACTAGACCATTGTTTCTTAATCTTTTTGAAGGTACTACCGAACCCCACCAGTTTTTAATGCGCATTCACAAAACCCATCTTATTAGTTCTATCGTCCGCACTGAAAAAATCCTATCGTAAATCATGTGAGTCGGGTTTGTGCCTTGACCTCCGTCGAACCCCTGAGACGGACTTACCGAACCCCTGGGGTTTGATCAAACCCAGGTTACGAATAGCTGCACCGGACTTAATTCGGTTGTAAGTAAGTAATAACTTTTCTGAGCTAACTACACAGAAACTAAACGAGAAACAAGGTCTATTCTGTCTAAAGACGTGACACACTAGAACACACAAACACACACAAACACACAAACTAGAACACACAAACACACACACACAAACACTAGAACACAGAGGTATCTACCAATATCCTAGACAAAATCTAATTTAAACTAACCTGGTTGTAGAAAAAAAACCAGAAACATTTGGAGTGAGACGGTTCAGTTCAAACTTTCCCCGTCCTGACGTATCCTTACAAACACTAGCACACACCGGACGACAACACCGTGACGTCAGACAACAACTCACAACACGGTGAGCGAACACTCACGGACGGCTGAGTTAACTAGGACAACAACATGAACACAAGCACGCCCAATCACAGCTACACAGCGCCTATACACAACACATTCAGACAAATCACCCCTTAACCCAAGTTATTAAGTTTCTATCACTGCTAGATACACTCAGAGTTTCTCAGATTGAGTTCAGATCGCGATGTCTCTTTAGAAAATTCTTCAACCCATTCATGCCCTGTCTTCAAATTAAAATATCGCTGTTTTTCTTTGTGATATCCCACTTCGCCTGTTTTAGGTACCACGTCACATCCTTAATTAATTCACATTTTTTGTATCAAAAGTATCACACTTCACATTTTGAAGTTATCACAATTTTGCTGTTTTCAGTACAACATTTCACATCCTTTAGATATCACGCTCTTTATATTTTAGAAGTCAGTTGTCAAGTTTATAAAAGGTAATGTCCGATACTCTACTTTCGATTTTGATGTTTTAGATTATATATTTTTCTGTTCAGTGTTTCTTCCAGACTTCTTTCTCCGGGGGGGGGGGGGGGGACGAACACAACCTTTTCCGCGGGGGGGGGGGGGCGGACAACATTTTCCGGCGGGGGGGGGGGGGGGGAGGGGACACTGGTAAAAGTATTTTTTCTATATAAATTTCTTTTTCGTTTGGTGGAGGCGGGGGGGGGGGGGGGGGGGAAATAGCCCCCCCCCCCTCCCCCCCGAAGAGAAGAAACTCTGCTTCTGTTAAACACTGTGATGTTTTACTTAATACGAGCCGACCCGCGGCGTATCATACGCCGCTATTTAGTTGTTTTATTTTTTTACTTTTCAGTAATTCATAATTTGTGAATTCGACAGTACCAATGCTGCCACTGAAAATATTTGCTTTAAAACACTACCCCCCCCCCTTTCCCCCAACCTCAACCCCTACCCTATACCCCCCCCCCGCCCCGTGAAATCAGCCTCCTCTTTGTTACCTCCTCTAAGTTTAAAATCGTTTCAAACTAAATTATCTGCCCCTAATAACCGTCACTAAACCCGGATTGTAAACATTTAGAGTGAACCACAGTTCACCAGACCATGTGGGGGGGGGGGGGGTAGTGATACAGAGGAAGAGACTGTAGAGAGGGGACTGCAAGGCGCGTTTTGCAGCTTGTTTTCTAACGTCTCCCAGAAGAGAATTATATATATAGATATTTTGGTGTTGTAGATATATTTTTGAGTTGAGGTAAAGCTTCGTGATGTTTTAGATAACATATTTTGGTGTTTTAGATGTAAAATCGAATGCTCTAGAATGTACGTTGTGACACTGTTAGTTCGCCAGTCCCTAGCCTCACGTTCCAAACTAAAGACACAACTGATCTCATTTCCTACTCCTGTTTCCGGTTCTGGAAACTCTCCGAGGCTAGACTATAGCCTCCTTCACCATGACATTTTTGAAAAATTGAATTTATGAAAAAAATGTAATTTTCTCTTTAAAATTGTATGGGACGACTGCAGACATATTTTCGTAACACGATAGTGCTCCTAATCCATGGCAAAGAATAAGATTTTTTTTATCTCTTTGGGGGAAGGGAGGGGGGGGGGGCGCAGAGCCTCTCCGAAGAAAGTCTATGGCCCCCGATCGAAATGGAATTTATATAGAAAATATATACTTTTACCAGTGTCCGCCCCACACCCCGAAAAATTTAGTCTGCCCCCCCCCCCAGGAGAAAGAGGCCTGAAAGAAGCACTGTCGATAACTGCATACTAATTGTACATAGTCTACACACTAGTATAGACCTTTGCTCAATGCACAATGTCCGGGAATTCCCACAACAATAAATAAACTTCTGTCACGGACGAGTGATTTTTTTTATATGAGCTTAAAAAAAAGTAAGAAATGGTACGAACCGTATGACATAACTGGTTAAGTCGTCGTCTGCTGGATCTATCCCGTGCTCCCAATAACTTCCTGTCGAGTAAAACGGCCGTTCATTCATCAACTCTCCGGCCATTGAGCGGTGGACATTTCACGTGGGGGAAAAAAGCTGGCACGACCTGGGTGATTAGAGCTTGCGCGTGAGCCGACCTGCCCCACGTGACGACATTTATATACCGTCGTCTGCGTGGCTGTCGGTGGCCGTGTGGCGTGAGGGTGTGTGGCGTGAGGGTGTGGGGCGAGAGAGGACGGTGGCGACGCTTGGATCGCTGGATGAAAGGGAGGGAACTGTTTAACAAGGGCTTATGTTTATCGAGAGTTATCTCACACTTCTTGATGTAAAAAAAAAATGAAGTTAATGAATATTTTTTCGTGTAGCATTTGATTGAGGCTCATGATAAACTGGCCGCAGTAGGTTTTTTTATGTCAAGGTCATTGAGTTTTTAAAATAGTTTTTTTTTTATAAATCACGTATCGACATATATTAATAAGAGAAGGCATTTATAGATCTCAATTCACTGCATCGATGAACTTTTGAGTGTCCTAAATATCTGTTGAGGATCGTCCATGTACCACTCCTGATAAACTGCTTCCGATTCCCCCCCCCCCCCTACACAAAGTGTAAAAATAAACAGAAACCCTACCTAACGAAGGATCAGTCTCTACGCGGTATAACATTCTTCTAATTAATTACGTTCTTCATAAAATGCTGCACCACACTTGTTAATAACCCCTCCCCCCCCCCCTCCACCAACACGAACCACAACGTCACGAAAGTCTAGCCTCCCACACCCTCTGAGGATGTGACGTCATTTAGCAACGTCAGTTCCGTCCCAACCCTATCTTGATCCGTACACGCGATCAAAAGTTTTTGTAGTAAATACGTTTTCTTCTCTTTCGTGGCCTACTCGATAGTCTATCAGACACAGAAACCAGAAGTGGCGGGTTCGAATCTCGCCTGGCAGCTGGTTTTTTTTTTTAACTCTTCAGCTACGTGGCTGTACTCAGCTGCTGTCAGAGGTCACCAGATTTTTTTTAAAAATGTGCCAAGTTCACAAAAATGTTCTGTTCTGTAAACATGTGATCATGAAGCAACTAGAACCTACCCTTAGTTGCCCGCGCGTCAAGTTTAACAAGATTTCTTCGGGAGTAATTAAATTAACAGAATTGGATAGCGTTGTACAAAAACTCGGTATTTAGCCCCAAGGAAAACAAAATTCTGTAAACAAATTTGCCGGTTTTTATTTTCTTAAAAATGGTTTTAAAATCTTAAATAAATCATAGCGCCATTTTCTCAACTTAAAAACTTTTTCGCGTTCATGTTCACTAGATAAACTCTCTAAACCTTGACCAACTAGACTAGCTAAACCTTGACCAGCTAGACTAGCTAAACCTTGACCAGCTAGACTAGCTAAACCTTGACTAGCTACAACTTCATCATCAAGATTTCTAACACTGAACCAGCTTGGCTCGCTAATTTTTTGTCCATGCACCAGCTAAAACTTCATGTGCACTAGCTTAACTCGCTAATAATCTGCTCTAAAAGGCACCCTGCTGCCCCGTTGCCCCACCGCTTCAGACGGGCAACTTTGCTAGTAAATGAAAGCACAAGCCCCAGTCATTACCAGCAGTCTAAAAGCTTGCTTAATTATTTACTACTCGCGTCCTTTTGTATAGAAAAGCAAACGAAACACGAGCATATAACAGGTCGTATAGATCAACTCTTTAAATCTAAACAAACTACATGCCCCCGCGGGGCCGTAGAGATGGGGGTGGGGTGGGGGGAGGGGGGGGGGGGCTAAGCTTTAAATTACAGAAACCACAATGGGGAAAGCTGGTTAACCCTCCCCCACCCCCCTCCTCCATTGAAAAGATTCAAGCCCCTGGGTAATACGATTACATGGGACCGTGTGTAGGTCTTTTGGTAAATACGGACTTGGTCTTGGTACACACACACACACAGACATCCACACCCACACCCAAATAAACACCAACTCACACATAAACACGCTCACACACACAAACGCCCACACACACATACAGAGTAGACCCTCTCACAAAAACACGTACCTTCAGAAATAACAAGCTTACAATTTAAAATGTGATTTTACCAACACCAGCCGGTGGCCCAAATATTCTTTAATGTTTCTTTGATATCATGATCAAAGCATCAACATTGATAAATTGACTTATCAACTTTTTAAATAAAATCAACATTGATGTATTGATTAATCAACTTTATTCCTAGCTGTTTGTTTTGCTTGATGATCCGAGCATCCTAATCGCTGTATTGATTTATCAACCTGATTCCAATTCGTCCGTTTACATATTTTATGTGCACCTCATTCGATGACGTCACGGGGATCGCTAGCTGAACATTTCATTCAGATTTTTTTCATTATTTTTTATTCACGATTCACCAGTAGGTCTATATTTAAACGTACTAGGTCTCTGAAAATTGAACAAGCTGGGGTTAATATGTGACTAACTTGTTGTTATGAGCAGTGTTTCTTCCAGAGTTTTTTCACCGGGGGGGGGGGGGGGGCACTCGGGATTTTCGGGGTAGACTTTTTTCGGGGGGGGGGGGGGGCGGCACTTTTAAAAGTATATATTTTCTATATAAATTTCATTTCGTTCGGGGGGGGGCGGTAGACTTTCTTTA